CCATGTTTGGCAAGCAGGCCATGGCCTCTCCAATGTTCCCCCCTCAGACACCGGGCTATGCTGAGAGCATCATGAGCGTCGCTGCGTCTCAGACGCCTACCACTGCTGGATTCTCTGGACCGCCTCCAAGCGCCGGTGTCGACATGTACAGGATCCAGCCCACCAACGGTGTGTACTTTGGACCGTACCTCCGCTACTGCAACATGGACTTTGAAAAGGGGACATGGCTGGGAAGCATCATGATCGTGACGGACGCACCGCAGCCCCCGACGATTCACATCCATCCGAGCAACGACCTGTCACCTAATCCGCGACAGTTAGTGCCGCACAATATCTTCACTCATCAGCGCTGGACGTTTTACAAGTACGATATTGAGCTGCCCATGAGTGAGAGCGGGACCGAGAGATGGACGTACGCAGTCACTTCTCACCTGGGATGCACGAGATACGAGTTTGTCATTGCTGGCCGCCATGAGGTCGGCTGGAGGTTCATCGCTCACTCGAACAACGACTTTGCCGCCTCCACATCTCAGGCCGAGCGCTCCAAACTCGGTGGCGTAGGCTTCATGTGGAAGGACGTGCTCCAGAAGAACGTAGACTGCGGTGGCTTCCACGTTCAGCTTGGTATGGGCAACCAGATTTACGGTGACAGACTGTGGAAGGAGGTACCCTTACTGAAGCAGTGGCTGGCGATGAGCGGCAGAGACAACAGGAAGAACGCGCAGTGGACCGCGCGCCACGAGGAGGACGTCTCGCACGCCTACTTCCATTATTATACCAGCCACTTTGACCAGCCTTACCTACGAGAGGCCTTTGCTCAAATTCCGCATGTTTTGCAGATTGACGACCATGACATGTAAGTCTGCATTTGTGTCCCTTGTGCTCACATCATATAACTAATTTGGGCCAGTTTCGATGGCTACGGCTCGTATCCCGAGTACATGCAAGGATCCCAAATGTTCAAAAACGTAGGCCGCATCGCCGTCGAAATGTACCTGCTCTTCCAGCACCACACCACGGTAGAGATCCTCCGCAACGTCAGCAACGACATGGACCTCTTCACCATCACCGGCCAAGGGTGGCACTTTGTCAAATACCTCGGTCCGGCCGTCTGCGTTGTCGGACCAGACTGCCGCTCCGAGAGGAACCAAGCCCGCGTCATGGCCGGGCCGACCTACCAGGGCATATTTCCCAAGGTCGCGACGCTGCCTCCCAGCGTACAGCACTGCATCTGGATGGTCTCCGTGCCGCTGCTGTACCCGCGCCTCGAGGCGGTCGAGAGCTTGGCAGGGGCCGTCGCGACGGGCAAAAAGGTTGTCAACACGTCGTACAATATCCTCGGCAAAGTCACGAGCTCCGTGGCCGGCGTCGTCGGTGGCAAGGACGTTGTCGCGCAGGGCTTCACGCAGGTGAAGAAGGCAGTCGGCAAGTCCGGCCTCATGGGCAACGTCCTGAACCAGTTTGGCGAGATTGACATTGCCGAGATCCTCAAGGATATGTGGACGCACGATTCCAAGGACCTGGAGAGGACGTACTTTATCCGCACGCTCCAAGGCATCTCCCAGCAAAAGGGCATTCGCATGACTTTCTTGTCAGGAGGTGAGTTCTCAAACCCCACAACTCGTCGCTTTTGGCTTTCTCAGCCCACCCACTAACGATATCACAGACGTCAACTGCGCAGGAGCAGGCCTGGTCCACGACCCAACCCACCCAAGCGACCACAAGACAATGTACCAAGTAATCACCTCCCCCATCGTAGCCCAGCCCGCGAGCAACTACATCCTCAAGCTCCTCCACAACAACAAGAGCCTCTACGTGCCGCAAAACGGCCACAAGTCCAACCACGAGGTGTCCGATTCCAAAGAGGACATGATGGAGATTTTCCACACCGACGCCTCGGGCTCCGCGCGCGAGCTTAAGAAGCTCATGGGACGCAGGAATTATGTTGCTGTCGTGGCGTACGACCCGGAGACCGTTGCTGGTGGTCCTGGCGGTGTCGGTGGTTCGCAGTATGCGGGTAGCATCGTCAATGGAGGACAGCAGCAGCAGCAGCAGCAACAGGGGTTGCAAAAGTTGAGTTTGGCGGTGGACTTTGTCGTGCAGGGTGATGGTGCGTTTACGGCGCCGACAAAGTATGGACCGGTGATTGTGCCCCATTTGGAGTTTGGGAGGTAAAGGAGAATTGGGTGTGCGTGGATAGTGATGATGATGGTGATGGTGATGGTGTTTTGTCTTTTTTTTCTTTCTTGGATTTACTTTAATATCTCTCCATCCCTCTCTCTCTATCCCCATCCCCAAGGTATACAGCGATAGCTTGACGACCTGATGATATACTTCAAATCTACAACATTGATTTTTGGAAGCTCGTTCGCGACAAGTGACAATTGACTCTTCCATCATGCACTATTTTCAGTGATCATTGTAATTCATTTCCATTTGCTGCTCTACTGAGAAAAATCAAGTCTCGAGAGCGAGCCTGTTATGGCCGCTCTCGAAATGCTGCAGGTCTGTTGTTCCCCAAGGCCACAGCCACAACCACAAAGTCTAGGAAGCTGGCCCCATGACATCTCAATTGCCCCCATTTTTTTTGTTGGGTTCATTTACTAGCCAAGTCAAGTCATCCTCGCCGGCCTTCAAGTCTTTTGTAAGTTCCCCTCATAGCCTACTCCTCTCCGCCGCGGTTCACAAGTCAAACGTCTCCTTGAGGATGCGAATGGTATCCTCGGGGCCGGTCACAGAGTGACCGATGGTGCGCTCGTCGACGTAAATCTCATAGTCGTTTCCGCCCTCGGACGTCTTGTCGCCAAAGAAGTGGATCTGCTCGTACTTGACACCGCCCTCCTTCTCCGCCTCCTTCTCGAGGTGCTGCAGGCAGTACGTCTTGTCCCAGCCGGTGGGGAAGACGTCGAACGAGATCTGGCCGCCGATGCTGAACGTCAGGCCGAGGTGTCCAAACTTTTCGCGGAGCTTGGCGACAAAGTCGCGACGGACGTTGTGGATCTTGTCGTAGGCCTCAAAGGCCTGGCGCTCCTCGTTGGAGGCGTTGCGGCCGACGGGGGAGATGTTGACCATGCCGTTGCGGAATTCGATAAAGGTGCCGCGCTTGATGGGGATGTCGAGGTCGGCAATGTGGTGGAGGGCGAAGCGGACGAGCTCCTTGTACTGGTCCTCGCCGATGTACTTAATGAAGCTGTTGGAGGCGAGGGGCTGGCCGAGCTTGTAGGCCGTCAGGCCGTTCTCGGAGAAGCAGAAGTCGAAGAGGGTCGTGACGGGGGTAGTGGCGTTGCCCAGCTGCTCTTGCTGCTTGGAGTAGTCGGAGCCGCCGACGAAGCCGATGGCGCACTTTTGGCGGAGGCGGGCCAGGAGGTCGAGGATCTCGGGGGAGGCGGCCTGGGAGGGGGGAGGTGTTAGCTGGTGTAATGCGACGAGTGATTCTTTAGGAAGGGTTGAGCTGGAAGGTAGTGAGAGAATTAAATATGATCTTGGAAGAGTAGCTTACCAGACGAGCGGGAGTGAGGGTGCCGTCAACGTCAAAGAGGCAGATGGTGTTCTTCAGAGGGCGCTCCGTGAGGGGAGGGTAGCTGGGGAGAGAGGTAGCCATCGTGACGGTGTTTGTGCTTGTGAATGCTGGCACAATGGGGTTCGGTCTCGAAAATTGTTTGATGAAGTCCTGAGGGGGAAAGTCTTGTCGTGCGAATTGCGCGCGCTTCGAGGAATGGGAGGTAACAAGGGGAAAAAAGTCCAATGGGAACGTTGAGCAAAGGGAGGGCGGTCAATTATGCAGGAAAGGAAGCTCTCCTTTTCGGGATGTGGCAGGCGCGGCGCGGGGTTGCTTTTTGGATGGCGGGGCAAGTGAGGTACTGTGGTGCTTGTTGCGGTTCAAGGGTCCCCCTCTAATGGATCTGGGTCTGGGCCTTGTGTAAGGTGTAATAGACAGCAGGGTGGGCTTTGAGCTGCAGGTGCAGAGAACCAAGAATATCGAATTTGAATCAGTCCGATGTTGGGCTTCCTTTATAATTTTTTTTTTTTTACAAATGCCCATAGCTATCTATATCCAATATTTACCACAAGCATTGGCAACTTTGATTCGACAATGGATGCTCAATTGCCTGCTGGCTGAGCCACTACAACTTCCAATTTGACAGATCTCTCAATTGTTCATCTCTTGGTGATCTGTCCTTGCGCGTCGCCATTGCAGTGAGCTATGAACAGCTTGCCTCATCCCCATGTACGAACGGGCAATGATACGAAGGCATTGGCATTGAAACGAGATGAGATACGCCATTCAAGTGATCACTTCTGAAACTTGCCCGCTAGACCATGTACGCCATGTATCGAGGCAGTGCTGAGATGACGAGTTGTTTTGTTTCCCCCAGGAACGTGGTTAATACAGGGGGAGATGTAGACATCGTGGCCTCTCTGAACCTGTAAGTTAGGTTCCCTGAGCAGATCACTATGAGGCGCAAGGAACGATAGATTGCAATTTACAGCGGACTAGGAGGGCACTAATACCGCGCTAGGCGACGGAGGATCTCACCTTGAGCTTGTGATGGGAACGGGCTGGGAAAACTGCCCCTTGCGGCGGCGCCCCGGCAGGGATGCGTGCTCCGGGGCTCGAGGGTGGAGCCGTCCCCGGCTCCGACTCGATGACCTTCACCTTCGTACCTTACGGTAGGTACCTTGACGTCGATGTACATCTTGCATCAATCACACAACCATTCCACCATTGCTCACTGGATGCTAGAGGACACATATTTCTCTTCAATCTTTTAAAGCTAATACGCAATCCGGCAAGTACGCGAAATAATCAACGACCCTGACCCAGTGACGATCATGCTGCGCCTCTGTTTCGAAACAGTCCGACCGGCAGCAACAATAAGTGAGTGAGTCACTCACTCATTTCAGACATTCGAGCCAGCAAACGTCCTTGACATCGATCGTGAACATCTTCGACACAAGTGGAAACATTACGACGATTTCCCTTGCAAAATGTCGTGGCCTCACTTCATCCATTTCTCAACCGGCTGATTCCCAAGAGTCTCTTCTTCGTCACCGGTAATGCCAGCAGGCTGCTGTCCCGAGCGACCGAGTCCTATTTCAACGCCAGCATCAGTCAAAAACAGTCCAGAAGAAGGATGTTATACAAGGAACCAAGCTTACCTTGCCCAGGGGTCGTCGTCTCGCTGCTCCTCCTGACGTCGGTCTTGTCCCCCTCATTACCAGTAAAGACACCCTCATCTTCACCCAAACCGCCCTTCTCCCAACCGGTACTGTCACCAGCCTCTCGCCTGGCGTGAGAGTTCAATCCCTTCTTCTCAGTAGAAGAGTCCAGCTCCCCTCCAGGGAGCGTCTTATTCGCCAGGCCGGTGGTATCCCCCGCATTCGACCTCGAAACGGCCAGATCATCATCACCTTGGAGCTTGGTCTGCTTCCCTTCACCGAGCCTTTCACCCCCACTTTCACTTTCACCTTCACCTTCGCCTTCGCCTTCTCCAGTCCCCTCCCCAGCCTTCAACTTACCATCAGTTCCTCCCAACTTCCCCTCCTCCGTCTTCCTACCACCAAATCCAGTAGCGATCCCCTTCCCAATCTTAGCAAGATCCTTCTTCCCCTCCTCACCACCACCGCCGCCGCTACCATAATCGCCGTGGTTATAAGCCGTAAATGCCCTCTGCGCGACATCCCCAATCTCGGTGTAATCAGGCCCCTTGCCGCCAGCCTGATCCGCCTGGAAGCCGGCAAGTGCCTTTTGGCCGCTGACCCGACGTCCGCCCATTCCTGGTCGTTTGCGGTTGTATCCGTATTTGTCTGAGGAGTTGACGAGTCCTCTTGCTGTTGATCCTTGTTGCCTCGGTCTTTGCCCGCGAGTTGCTGGGCCAAGTCTGTGAGTTTGTTGAAGCCTCCCATATTGAATGTCTGAATCTCTCGACTTTTTTGTGTTTTTTTGGTAGGTTCAGGGAAGTAGAAAGTGGTTGGGTCCGAGTTGAGTGTGATCTGTTTTGCGTGGGTTGATCTAATAACCAAATTTGGCATGAGCTGGAATTGCTTCACAGTAGAAAACGGTCTTTTTTCAGATCATTCAAAGTCTTATTTTATACTTTATCTTATTTCCATAGTCTGGCCATAATCCATTGTTGCCAGTCACCGTAGAGACGCGTTGTTCCCCCCTCGTGGAAGGGCATAAGTTGGCCAAAACACAAGAACGTGTACACAATGACATGTCTTGGCAACCACACACACGTACGCACACGTACACGAGCCGAGCTGAGCTGTAGAAGAAAACCAGATGAAGCCTCACCTTAGTCTTGGCATCACAACGATGCACATTGCGTACTTGGCATTCCATGATGTTCGTCTCAATACGTTGGTTGGGGCACGTCACAACTTCGGCTACTGATGCCCTTTCACTCACGAGGGGTCTCTCTGGTGGTGCACGTACGAAGGAGGGGGGGGGGGGGGGAAACACATCAGATGGTGATCAACGTCTGCAACGTAGGACCGTGCCTGAGTGCCTTCGAACCTCTTTCGTAGGAATAGGTGTTCGCTAGATGAAACGGCAACCATCGCCAACACCTCACAAGACTTTCACACGTTGAAGAAGCCAATGAGGTATCAAGACAAACGAGATGCTTGTGTAAGAAGGACGTGTTCATCTATGTTATTTATTTTATAAACTAATGTATATGTAGATTCGTGTTTCCTCTTTTTGTCCTGGTGAGGTAAAGACTGTCTATGAGTGGAAAGACAGAGAGTTTTCGTTTATTGTTCTCGTCGCACGCTATGCTTGGGTATACTCATACGGCGTAATACACTAACGCAATATTGATACAGGCTGTACGTGTGCCAGTAGTCAAAAGGGAGAAATATATCGTTAGAAAGAAAGGGAGTAGGACACGTCAGTCCACACTCCGGTCAGCTCGACAATAACGTTGACGACGGTGCTGATCATCCACAACACAATGAGACCATAACCGATCTTCCGTGACATCACCCATTTGTTCATGGGAACGATGACGAGCAGGCCGAGCAGTGTGATGAGAAGCGTGATGGCAGAGATCATCAAGGTGCCTCCTATTTGAATGTTGTATGAGTGGTACTTGAATGGCTTGTCGGGGTGCTTCTTATGTCGGTGGTTGGCGGCCTGGACCATCATGTAGACGCCGCCGATTCCGATGCCGAGCAGGATGTTGAGCATGGGCCCACCAAAGCACGCAGACCTGAAAGTAATTAGCATGGCTGTCATCGGTATGTAGATGGGAAGGTAGATGTAGACTTACAATGCCATGACGGGGAAACCAAGCCGGGCAACGGTGATATCAGCAATAAGATCGCCCACACTGTTGCCCGCGGCGAAGATAGTTAAGCCAAGGAGGGCTTCTGAAATACCGAAAATGACACCCACTGCTTTCAAGACGCCAACAACTTCCCCGGCAATGGTAGAAATCCAGGCGATAGCAATGATGAAACCCATGAAGCAAAGCAAGAAATGGTACTTTGGCTTCTTGTCGGGACTAGTGGAAAGGAGGAGGAAGCCGAGGAGAATCGTGGATCCTAGGAGTGTATACAGGATGAGTCTGACGAGGACCTTGTAGGGTTGTTGGAAGTCTTCCTTCATGTTTGCCCAGAGAATGATGACGGCGAACAAAGGTCCGGTGAAGAGCTGAATCGCCACGAGCCATCTGTTCCACTGTCCCGACTCATCTACAGGAGCTAGACTGCTCTCCGAAGGCAACGGCGCGGCGGGTTTGATGGCTTGTGGGTGACTCGTAGGTATTTCGGTTGCCACACGCGCACCACTCGGAGAGTCGATGGCAATGAGCGCCGGAGAGCCCTTGGGGGAGCGATCAAGTGACTGCCCGCGAGAGTGCGACAGAGTAGCCCGTCTGAAGCGCTGCCACTCCGTCTCTCCCTCGTTGTCTTCGTAGGCGTCGGCAGGCACTGGAGCGTCGCAGTGGGAATGGTCTCGCATCATCGGATCCACGGCAGTCTCATCGGATGAATCATCCGCGCTCTCATTTTCGACAACCGGAAGTGTCAACACCAGGAGCAAGATGCTCGGTACAGATATCGCACTGACAAATCTGTCCCAGTGACTTTTCTGCTTCCAGCCTAGCAAAGTTGGGAACAATGTTGCCCAAAAGATATGCGGCGGAGGCAGGATGGCGTATGGCCACCACCTTACAGGTCTGGGGTTGGCCATCTCATAAGGAGCAAATGGCACTTCGAGACGAGCCGGTCCAGGCGGCGCAAAGAACTCGGTCGGCTCGGTCTGAGCAGCAGGCGTTAAAACAAGAGGCGATTCAGTGTAACCAGGGAAGGGCGATGCAGGCGAAGATCCGACGCTCATGCTACCACGCCGACTTGGTATTTGGAGGGAAAGTTGACCAGGTGATGGCCGAGCCTCCAACGGTTCGCTCCCTCCGCTGTCCTGTCTCTGTGGTACGGCGTCGACTGGAGGAGGTGCCAAATTACCGCCGATTTTGTAAGCTGGTGACAGACTTCGGTTTCTGCCCTCTTGGGCCTTGATCTGTTGGATCGGGTCTGCGAGTGTTGGGAAGCGCCATGGCGATGGCGAATGGTCGCGACTGTTGACAGATCCGGGGATATCGCCGGAAGATAAGGCCCGATTTCTGTTCTGACCTAATTCCTCAACGGCACCTATCGTGTACCTCCCTGAATCGGAAGGCGGGCCTCCCACTGTATTCGTTTCACTTTGTCCTCCGAGGTGGTTGACCGAGTAAGCTCGTCCATGCATCGGTCTCATCCTGTGGTTGCTTTCCTTTTGCAGTTGAGCCAGAGCAGATCGAAATTCGAGAGCGCCGACCAGACTGGGACGAATAGGCGTGAGTGTGTTGCGCCTTCTGCCTCTAGGACGCAACACTCGCATGCTGCTGGCCATCTCCGCCACGACGTGCCGCCCATGATCGCTGTCTTCAGCTTCCTCGTCACTCTCCCCTTGACCATCAACTTCGATCCTAGGGCCAGCTTCCAATACGTTGATGTCTCCAGCACTGGAAGCGGTTGCAGAGGCGACGTGCCGGTCCTCATCGTCGGGATCATCCCGGTATGGTTCCGGTGCCAGCTCGTCGCTGAGATGCCCCACCGTCCCGTAGACATGACCTCGTGCGGCTGCTTCCCGGACCCGCCGCTGGCTCCGCCTTGTCGAGTACCAGTGCCATGTGACAACGGTAACCACGTAGAAGATGTAGTAACAGACCATCGTTATGCATTCCCATAAATGCAGGTGGCCATCTGCCAGGAACACCATGGTGAAGCAAACAGCCACGATGAAGAAAGAGAGATCCCTGACGTACGTCTTTCTGCCAACTTTAAACTCGCGAACCAAAGCCATGGACCCGGCAACGACGGCGGTGATGAAGCTTGCAGCACCAATCAACTCTCCAACAGCCATGCTGGCGCTATTTGAGCCCATGGCTGCAAAAGTACTGAAGACGTCGGGTGAGCCATTGCCAAAGGCGAGGAAGGTGACGCCAGCCAAACTCTCGCTGAGACCGAGGATGGCTGAGATTGTGCTAAGATTAACGCTGAAGAAGTCGCTGGCGGCGATGCCAATAGTGGTGAAGAGTAAGCCGAGCCAGCAGACCAGGATAATGAAGGCCAACCACTGAGCCTTGCCAAGGTCGCAATAATACAGCGTCAGGTAGGAGAGGAGGCCAGCCTCGTCCTCGGCGCAGTGAGCCTTGACAAAGGCACACTGATCATCGGCGCGGTGGACATCTCGGCACTCGGTGAACTCGGATCGTTTGGCGAGGGGTGAGGATGAGAGTGAGAGTGAGGCGTCTTGCAGCTGAAGCTGTCGTTGGGTAGCCTTGGTCAAGATGGACCAGGATGCCAAAAGACATATTAAGAATACGGTCGCGTAGAAAGGCCGCAAGCGAAGGGCGCCCCCTCGGATCTTTGAGGACGTTGGCATGTCTGACGTCAAATGCTGATTGTAATTGGCTCATCCGAAGCCATGGCAGAGACCGCGCTGTCGCGTTGGCGTGGCCGTGAAGCCGCTCGTTCCGCCGGACAAGGAGGAACAGATGTCTCTCAATGGAGTTGCTATACAAAAAAGAGGGCTGCAGCGGGTTCGAGCTGAACAGCAAATGCAAGCGCTTCTCACCTTCATGTACGACTCATGGGGGTCTACCGTCCGAGGGAGGCAGCCCGGGAAAACCTGCCCAGCCTCTTTCAGGAACTATGAGCGACGCAAGCTTCTTGGCCACCACCAGGCTGGAAACCGCAGGCAATGCCCTGATTGCGCCAAGCATCTGCTCGTGTCTGCGTGGGAAACCCCCCTCCGACGTGGCTGTGCGTCAACGGAGCGGCAACTCCAAGAGAGGGGGGCTGCTTGCAACGGCAACTGCAAGAGAAGAGTTCCATAGTCCTCGGCAGATAGCGATCTTGCGTCACGTGCCGATAACGAAGGGGCCGCGAAGGGCCGATCCAATCTGATGTTTGGACGAAACGGGATTTTCAGCTTCCCCGCCCCATCCGGCCCGGAAGGATAAACTTGACACCTAAGATTCGAGGCAGAAAACCTCTTTATTGTTGTTTCGCGTCGCCCAGGGACGTGCTTTTGGTGGGGAAAGTAAACACAAGGCTCGGCCACCCACTACAGCATTACAGCACACTGCAGCAAACAGTCAACAATTTTGACGATAACCTCAGCGCCAACAACACACACAGAAAAGATGCCTCGAGTGGCCCAAGTACCGCGCGCAAATAGCCGCGCAGGCAGTGTCAGAGCGACCTCCGGGTCGATGAACACAT